ACGACAATGATGTGGGGGGCCGGGTATATCTGCTCTCTCGCTCTGATACTTTTTTAATCGTGTCTACTTATGTGGTAATCTCCGCGTGTGGTTACTCGTAACGAGGTTTTATCACGATTTTGCGCTTCCCGATTCCAATCGATAGCGCGAACCACGACGTCGCTGGATGCAGCTGAGGCTGGACCTACTTGCTATCTGCTGGACCGCGATGCTGATCAATGTGCACGGATGATTGAAACCTAACGAGAAGAAGTACCCCCGGAACGCTGCGACATATTTACGTAATGCCGATTTTTGTTTGTGGTTGATCAAGGTGAGAATTATTCAGGATGTTCTATTTTCCGAGTTTCATAATATTACGTAATACAGTGCGTATTAGAACAATAGAACCGACTAAAGTCATACAATCACAAAAACCGTTCTCTGTCTTTTGTTTAACAATACGTTTTATGGAAATTTAAGGGTTGTTGAACAAAGTAGTGTTACCGGCGCCGGAGGTATAGTGGTAAGCGTGATTACCTCTCACCACAGCAGGCCTGGGTCCAATCCCAGTCAGTGCTGCCGGGATGTTCTGAGGCATAATTTAGATACCGTTGGTCCCTGGTTCATGAGTTGATGCGTCGATAGGTAGGGTCCTGGCGTGGGAGCTGCCTCCCTGGCGTCGGTAGTATTGGTGCTCAACACGGAAAACAAGAACGACAGAATACAAAAATCAAGGAAAAAACCCGAATTTATCCACCTATGGTGTGATCAGACCCTTCTTACTTATTCAAGTTTATTTATTTTATTGTCATTATCAGTGACCAAGCCCCCCACCACCATGTCATCCAGTGACGCTACGCCACTGCCTGGGGGTACCCGGAATATATCCGGGTGTAGTCTATTTCGTGAGGCTACCAATCACCTTAACATCGTATTTTAATGTGATTTAATGGGTTTTAATTCAATTCATATTCAAGCAACTTCCCCGGGGTACCCAGAACATGTCCAAGTGTGTCCAATGTGGTCTGGAACACTTAACACGACTTGCATTGATCTTATTTTTGAATTCTGTAGTAATTTGATGTGTCGCATGATGGTTTTAATACGTTTTCCGTTAAATCCAGCGTGAAGGCCCATATTCACCGGATCTTATTCCGGCCATATCTCCGGAACCGGTTCACCGATTCCAAAACCGTTCAATAACGTTCAATGGGACCCCAAGACCTATCATTTGGCGCCGAGTTTGTCCAAATCGGTTGAGCGGTTGCTGAGAAACGTGAGCGCATTCATTTCGTTACATACACACACACATACACACATACACACACACATACACACATACACACACACACACACACAAACATGTTCCGATCTCGTCGAGCTGAGTTGAATAGTATATGACACTCGGCCCTCCGGGCCTCGGATCGATAGTCGGTTTTTCAAGTGATATCTATACCCTTCTTTGTAAGAAGGGTAAAAATAGTGTTGGGGGGCGACCCCGGCGTAGTGGTTAACATCCATACCTCTCACGCCAAAGTCACGAGCTCAAATCTCACCCCCGGACAAGTCACGAATGACCCAAGAGTGTTAAAGTGACTAAAATAAAAAAAAATAAAAAAAAAAAAAAAAAAAAATAGTGTTCTACACAATTTACTTAGTCTTCATCTATGTGATTCCTAATCTTCTATTCGTTGTTCTTTAGTTTGAAGTGGTTAAGACTTGGGTTCTCATGCAAAGTCATTATCTGTTTCATTGATTATATTTGTTGTTACGGAATCTGGTTTCGACAGACAAAGGGGCACGCCTTTGGAGGGTATTTCAACACTCCGAAGGGTATAAATAGCGGGACCTTTCAATTAGAATCGGTTCCTTGTGATGTAGGTAAGAGTGACAATTGTATCAAAACCGAATACTTCATCATTTCTCAATAGTGTTGAAGTAATACGACATGCACTTAAATAAGGACACGGGGTATGCTACAATAGATCAAATTACTGGTCTTAGTGGTTTAATGTACCGAGCAGGAAAAAAAATTATCTAAGATTGGGCCCATCACTAAAAATCTGCTATGTATCAATTTTATCTAGATGAACGCGTCATTGGGACAGCCCAAATGGATATTTTTGGTCGCTATTGAAAATTTAGTCGATTTCTGAGCTTACGTATAAGCCCAAATTAGGAGTATTTATTCCGACATTACATCCATTTCCCATAAAACAATGATTTTCAAAGAGAGACAAATAATTGTGTGAAAACCCATGTGAAATGTATCGCTTACTTTCCGAGAAAAGAAATCCCAAATTTACGCTTTTAAAAAATTATCATCCACAACACCAATTCTATGTACCAAACTTCCACTACCATCATTTTTTCATCCCTTCTGAACTATTGACTTCTTTTTTAAAGCTTCATTAATTTTGAAATGTCCGAGGTGTTAATTTCATAAAAATTAGCATTTTTGGTAAAATTTCAAATAAGCACATGTATGATTATTTTAAGGAGCCGTCTGGATTCTTCACGTAAGTGATTTTCCGGTATTTGAAAACGTTTTCAGAAATGGTTTTGGAATGGTTGTTCGGTTGATGTAGTGTTTTGGTGGCGTTGATTCAATCGTTTGTTTGTTTAGGGGAAAATTGAGAAGCATTGTTTTGTTCAGAAGACTGTTGCCATTTCGTCGACGACGGTTGGAGGAGGAGGAGAAGGTCAAAAAAGGTTAGGTTTTTTTTCCTTGATGTTGGGAAATTTTGCACAGAACTGTTTTTTGGACTTCCAAAATCGTTTTTCCTGCTAATTTCCACAAACAAATTGAAGAAACAAAAAGTTTTGCAAATTTACCAAATGTTCTTATTCTACGATTTCTGTCAAATTTCATGTATCCACAATCTTGAACATTTCAAAAGTTTTCATTTTCACAAACTTCTGAGATATTAAGCTTTCTTTTGATTTTTTTTCTCTATTTTTACATATAGGGGAAATGGCTCTAATGTTGGCCTATGGATCTAGATGAACTATTGGATATTTTTGGTCGCTATTGAAAATTTAGACGATTTCTGAATTTATGTATGGGCCCAAATTAGGAGCATTAGGCTGACATTACATCCATTTCCCCTATAAAATATAAATTAAAAAATGTTTTTGTTTGTTTTTCCGAGAAGCACATAATGCTTCCCTGCCACTTTGTCGCAGATGTCATTTCGATTAGAAATGTCATTTTAGTGCAATAATTTTTGGAAACATTCAAGGACGCCATTTCGCAATTTTTCAAATATGACAGAATTTTAGTTAAGATGTGAATCATTGCCCAAAACAAACAATTGTGCAAAATTTCAAACAAGAGACAACGAAACCTCACCCCATGCTCCTTGCCAGATCCTATGTTTCGACAATGTACCCCTCTTACCTTGGATAAGCCACGAGTATTCGGTCCAACTCCTACTAGACATAGAAGTAAGTGAATTTTGTTAAAAACAATGAACAATTAATTATCGGCTCCGTAAAGCTAATGCGATTGAGCCTGCCAAATAAATGAACTAGATATAAAAAAAAAGTTTCATACAAACCGGTAAAGGTCGCTGAAAATATTTTTTTCTCGTTATTTGGCCTGCAACTGCTCAATAGTAGTTTTGGGCCGAGCTTTGGACTGAACTCCTTGGATCCAAGGGAAGCTAGGTTTGATGGAAAATAATGCGCTCAGTATGCTGGTCAAGCAACGGTGAAAGAAGCTGCGACAAGTCTGCCAATTCAATAAATTTTAATATTCGAACAAATCTTAAGCCTAGAAGCTATCATAAAAAGAATACGTCTGCTACTACGATGATTGGTAATTGTGAATCCTACCCATGTAACCAACAAACCCGTTAATAGCCCGATAAGGGCCCTTTGTGCAATAGAAGGCTGATACAAGGCTTTAAATTCTTATATCAGCCGTATATCAGCATTATATTGCAATTTTTTGCATTAGTAGGCTTGATGGTTGCTTGGGTAGTGCGCCAGTAACAAATCGGACAAGCCGGACAGGCGTTAAATAAACCGCTGAAAATAGATAATTCACTGCTGTCGTGACGCTTGGTTGATTTTCCGGCCATCTTCATCGCGGAGCAAAAACAGCACACGTCCGCGTGCCAAAACAATAGTTAACGGAATGCCGTTCGGATCTTTTCGTTTGTAACTTAACCCCACGCGACGACCAAACGCTCTCCCAAACACTCAGCGTATTCTCGGTGCCTCTCTCAATTTTGCACCCGATCGAATGATTCTCTCATATTTTGCTCCCGAAGCTCAGATTCTTCGGCAACAAGTGACCGAACTCTAGCAAGCGCGGTAAAGAGATTCTTTTTTTTTCCTTTATTATCACACGCACACTGGCACTTGCAATCCAAGCAGAAGGATACTATATCGAGTTGCTGTTTGTCTGCTTAAAAGAGATCGGCACTCTTTTACAACGAAAAACTTTTCCGATAGGATTGGTCGATCTTCAGATACGTATAGGAATGCTTCGAACGTATACAGCACTTTTATCTCCCCGGCTGAAGCATAAGCCTTAAGGGATCGATCGGATCGTTCTTGAATATTGTATAACCCTTCCTTGTATTGTTGGTTTCCATTAAGTACCTTAAATGATTGTTCAGTCAAGGTGTTAACCTGAGCACCAGAATCAATCAGGAATTCACAACTCATCCCTGCCACCTTAGCACTTATTACTCCGCAATCTTGTGAATTTCTTGTAACAGCGATCGAAACACCAAAACACGGCAGTATGAGTTTTTCTGTTATCTGGTAAATAAACATCAATGTTACGGAGTGGAAATTTCAAATTTTTATATGAATTCAAGTCATAACACTTTAAACTAATGAAATACCGTATGAATGAAGACTTACGACTTTTTTTTCTACTTGTTAAATAATAATTCATCAAGTCCAATTTTATATTTATTGTTTCATCAAAAGAAAATTACATCGAATTCAACGTTAACGTAACTTCATAGAGTATTTCAGGAGTGTATGAAATGAAGATTTAATCAATACTTATTGTCACCTACATCATCTTCGGTTGGTCTCTCTTCCTCCTTTGCGTTTCCTTCCATGTCCACCATTGCAATCTTCTTTGCTTCAACGTACGAACTGTCTGCTTCACCCACACGCTTGTTTTCCGTCCGGATTAATGTCTTGCAGGCTCGCTTGAAATGACCTTTGCGTCCACACTTCAAGCAGGTTTTATCAATCGCAATGCAATCATTCGGCCTGTGAAACACACTGTTGCACCTGAAACAACGTTCTCCTCCAGAATTTTTCCACCCAGGTGTCACAGGTCGGCTAGGAACCAGTTCGTCTCTACGTCGAAACTGTTGATTTCCGAATCGTCCGCGGCTCGTCAAGTCTCGAGTGAAATCCTGACGGTCGCTTCTTCCTTGACCCACGCTCACCGAAGCGACTGTAGCTTGTTTTACCGTTCCATGTCTAAAGCTGGGTTTAGACAGGGCAAGTCAATTGATGAAGTCAGTTGAATTCAACTGACTTGAACACGAATTGAATGTGTAAACCATGCCATTCAACTGACTTGATCAACTCACTTGAATTGAAAAAAGTTGAACCAGACTCAAATTTTCAAGCCAATTGAATTCAACTGAGTTGATCATTTGACTTGCCTAGTCTAAACCCAGCTTAAGGCGATAATATTCCTCGTTCATGTTGACAGCTTGAATTTGACGAACTTTGTCAACCAAATCCGCCAGCGTTCCTTTACGACTAAGCATCTTGAGTGCCATTGTTCGCACTTCCTTATTTCTCGCGTGTTCTGCAACGGTGCTCACGATCTCCTCAAATTCCTTCCCGTCACCAAACTCACACATCCTGGCCATGGCACCGACCCTCATGATGAAAGACAAATCGGATTCATCCGGTTTTTGGATCATCAATGCCAGTTTGCGACGCTGTAACATGATGTCCGACCCGGACCCGAAATATGTCTTCAATCGGTGCATGGCGTTCGTGAATGGATGGGCTTCGGGATCTGGAGCATCAACCATCGTCGTCGTATTTTTGTAGATTTCCATTAACTTGAAGCCTGCTTTGACTTTGAACACTATGAACTTGGTTGGCTCATCAGTTATGCCAGCGAGTGTCATTGAGTCGAGTAATAAATCCTTCCATGATTCGAACTCAAACTTTCCTATCTCTTCACCTTCTACAGACGACTTGCATTCCGGAACATTGACGGTGGAAATCGAAATTTGGTTAACCGACGACATGAAGCGGGAAACTTCCATGGTGGTCTCACCACCACCGCTGCCATTGCGTTGCGTACTTGAAGGGCCAATTTCACCCGCAAATTCAACGCTGTTTACTTCAACCACATTATTCTTATTTGCACTCAACGTCGTCTGCAGCGAAATGATTGTCTCCTGAGCTTTTTCCAGTTGTCCACACATTTCCACAACTTTGGCATTCGATACCGCGAGCTCTTTCAATGCCATGTCGAGTTTCGAATTTATCTTCTTTGTTTTCCTGTAATCCATAACACAAAAGAAAGACAAATGCTGGTGTGAACTTCATTCTTTAATTTTTTTTTCCGCACATTTAATCTTGTACTTGACATGTGAATGATTTTAATGATTCGTTTTTCTGTGCACTCAATAATTTTTTTTTTATCATGCCACCTTCCACTCCGTTTTTTTTTTTTTAGTAATTTTCATACATATTTTTTTCCAATTCCTTCCATTTTTGTTTGCCTTTACCATGAGACCTACCGCTCTTTATTTTTGGATTTTTTTTTTATTATTTACGTGCCTGGAGACCTATCGCTTCCTTTTGTTCTGGCATATCTTTTTTTTTTTGCCACTCTTTTTGTTTTTGGCCATTTTTTTTGTTTACATGCCTGGAGACCTATCGCTCCCTTTTATTTTGGCATATATTTTTAGATTTTGTTTTAACAATGTCTCAATATACTTACCGATTGGGAGCGTCTTCAACCACGCCATTGTCGTGACGCTTGGTTGATTTTCCGGCCATCTTCATCGCGGAGCAAAAACAGCACACGTCCACGTGCCAAAACAATAGTTAACGGAATGCCGTTCGGATCTTTTCGTTTGTAACTTAACCCCACGCGACGACCAAACGCTCTCCCAAACACTCAGCGTATTCTCGGTGCCTCTCTCAATTTTGCACCCGATCGAATGATTCTCTCATATTTTGCTCCCGAAGCTCAGATTCTTCGGCAACAAGTGACCGAACTCTAGCAAGCGCGGTAACGAGATTCTTTTTTTTTCCTTTATTATCACACGCACATACTCTCAGCACTCTCAACACTCACATTCTCTAGGTAATTGTAAAATCCGACACGAAGAGACTTTCGGAATACCCCAGCTGGAGGATTATTTCACTCTCGCTCTCACTTTTTTTAACACTGAAAGATTTTTGTTTTCATTTTACCTTTATCCACTACAACTGCCAGTTCAATTCCTTCTTCGGATGTACCTGCCATATAAGCAACCAGTTCCTTTTTTTAACTCTTTGTTGGTTCCAAATTCAAAATAAATTACATTTCCTTTTAACCTAGGTGCTCCAGTAACTATAATAACTTACCAGCCTTAATTGCTATGATATATATCTAAGTGTTTTTACATTGTTCCTGTCTTGGCAATTCAGTATTTTAAACAGGTTTTTTAAACCTGCATGTCAGTATAACAATTGAAATCTTAAAACTAAAAACTAAAACTAAATCTTATCTAAGTGTAAAGGGAATTAATCGTTGCAATTTAGGATTGCAACGATTTTTGCCTGAAATTATTAAATATTTTGTTGGACATTTGTACAAAAGTCTCAACATTCGAATCTTTTTTCTCAATCCTTTGAAGTGCTTTTTTCCTGGTAGTGCAACAACTAGATCGTATTGGCACAGCGTAAAGTATGGCCGGTCTTAAAACTTGTTTAAATATTAGAAGTTTATTCGTCAGGCAAAGTTTGGATTTTTTTTTAGTTTATAAGAGGATAAAAAGGTTTTGTATATTTGTTATATTTGGCTTGAATGCCCTTAATGTGATCTTTAAAAGTTAATTTTTGGTCAAGTACAAATCCAAGATATTTCACTTGGTTTGACCACTATGACCACTATGTGTTTACTACTAGGTTTCAAAAAGTATCGTTGTTGATGAAGAATCACGAAAAACTTACGAAAAGGGCATATTATCTAAAATTATCTGATAATGATGAAACTGATATTTCAATCTCGAAAATGGTTACATTTATGTAGTTTGTCGATATGAACAATATCGTTTGAAATTCATCGGATTGAAGAAAACCATCGCATCGCTTCGTAAGGACGTAGCATTTCTGAAGAAATGCCAAAAATATAAGGTTATACCTATCAGCCATAGGATTAAGGTACGGAAACCCACCCCACCCAGCGTAGTAAAGAGGATGGCAGCAGAGTTCATCAAGGATAGCATCAGACAGCTATATAGCAAACTGGACATGAAGTTTTTGGAATGTTGTTCTCTACACCTCAAATTGGCCAAAGAGTATCCAATTAAATTCCAGGAGTTTCTGTCTAGGGCCAAGGTAGCAGAGGAGTGCGAATCACATTGGAAACGAAAGCTACACGATAGGAAGCTAAACAGACCACGACACGAGTCTCAACAGAGACGGACGACACACTTAACGGGTGAGCAGATCCCATTCACCATCACCACGACGCCGAGGGTTCACTCCATTGGTTGTAAACCGATCGACGACCGCTTTCACGGAAGAACAATTGACACACCTCAACAACGGGCTAGGATACGCGACTACAACCAAACCGGGCGTGGAGCAGATCATCATTGACGTAGAGACAGCGATTACCAAGACACTTCCAACATCATCACAGAATACGGTCAGGACTATCACATCGAACATAATCAAGGACGGACAAGAACAAAGTCGCGCCAACGAGAAGGAAATTCGGATTGTAAAGGAGCTGAAAAGTAAAGCAGTATACTACGTGAAAGCAGACAAGGGCAACGCGGTCGTTATCATGGACAAAGACGATTACGACAATCAAATGACAACGAAGATTAATAACGGACCGTATAGACAGCTTCGAGTAGACCCCTTACAGAACATAATCAAACGCGTGGAGAGAGCACTGAAGGAGTGCAAATCAATATTAGGAGATGGAGCAGGCCGTTTACGGGAACCCAATCCCATTCTACCCAAGATCAAAGGTCTCCCCAAAGTCCACAAACCGGGAAATGAAATGCAGTTAGTTCCCCCACCCACAAACTAGCGAAGTGGCTAGTCACAGAGTTCCAGAGTATGCCGAATCAGTTCCAGAGTAAAGCAGTTAGTATCACCCAGGAGTTCGCCCAGCAACTACAACCTTCAGGAGACATCAACGACGACGAGATTATGGTATCTTTCGACGTTACAGCTTCTTTTTTCCCAGCGTACCGTTTAAGGAAGCGATCAACCATTTGGAGGACTGGCTATTAACACAACGAGAGGATGCAGCATGGACAAACAAGGTTCGGACGTACCTTATGCTGACCCGCCTTTGTATGAAAGAAAACTACTTCTCTTTGCGAGGTAACTTCTACAAGCAGACGATGGGAAACCCCCTATCCCCCTTCCTGTGTGAACTTTTCATGGCCAACTTGGAGACAATTCTTAAGGAGAAAGGACTATTACCAAACCGTTGGTGGAGGTTTGTTGACGATATCTTCAGCGTAGTTAAAAGGGACGCCCTTCCACAAATTTTAGATGAGATCAACAGAATTCACAAGGATATCAAATTCACTCACGAGGTAGAAAAAGACGGGAAACTCGCATTTCTCTATATTCTAGTCATCAGGGAATCGATACAGGAAACTCAGCGATACAGGAAAGGTTAAGGAATTACAGTACATCTTCGAAACAGTGAGACTCAACGGATACAAGGAGACCACAATTCAGGCAATCATTGATAAAAAAGCGAGAATTCTACAAAGGAGATTATTTACAACCCTCACCGCAGAACCTGAACCCTTGAAACGAGTGGCCGTTGCATTTGATCAAGATATTACTTGTAAACTAAGACCACAGTTAAAACAATTCGGATTAGATTTAGTTTTCACCAGCAGACATAATCAGTTGAAATCATTGTTAGGATCCACTAACCCAGTTAATATAATATAATAAATAAAATAAGCTGTAATCATTGTAACAAAGTATACGTAGGCCAAACCAAAAGAACTTTAGCAGCTAGATTTAACGAACATATAGCGGAGGTTAATAAGCCCAAAAAGCAAGAGGTAAAAGGCCTAACATATGATTTCAAATCAAAGGTTGCAGAACACATCTTCACAGAGGACCACCAACTATCGACGGAGGACATCACGATTTTACGGACCGTATCTACAAACAACGGAATTCAACTTTACTCAACAGGGATCAAGGAAACGGACACACATGGTTTTTCAAATTACTACCTGTGTTAATATATATTCGGTAAAATGCGATGTTTTTCTTCAGTCAAGGATAAGCATATAAGGTATTGCAATTAAATGGAAATTACTAATCTTTCTCTCTCTCTCTCTTTATATCGTTTGAAATGATTTTTTAAATCATATTCTGTCATCAAACTGCGCTTTAGTTTTTTTTTTCTTGACTTGTATATCGTCGTTTTTGTTTTCCGTACTGAGTACCAATGCTACTAATGATGCCAACGGCTTTA